ACAGTCTTAAAATATGAGGGAAATCTGTTCAAGAGTTATAAAATTTTGTTTTTTCTGTTATTCAGAATTAAGGAGAAGTATCCCCAAGCATTTGATGACATATGCCTTTACTCTGAGGTGTCCTACTTGTTAGCACATTGTACATTTCGACTTCCATCTCGAAGGTTCATTCAGGAGCTATTTCAAGACGTACAGTTCTTACAAGTGAGTGGAGGGTTCAGATGCAGTGAAGGCACCAGAATGTGCCTGGTGTTACGGGTTTCACGTTCTGAGTAAAAGACACCTTCAGATATGTCTTAAAGGAAACCATTTTATGATGTCTCCAGTAAAATCTGTAACAACATTAATACTTTATCTGTCTTTTCCTTTTAGATGCATGAAGAAGCAGAGGCTATTTTAGCAACACCACCAAAACAGTCAGTAATTGATCCATCAGCTGAATCCTGACCTCTGTCTTGCACAGTGCATTGCAGACAGACTTTCTGAAATCCTCAGACAACCTCTGACTGGATAAAAAGCTTGGAGCATCATCTTCTGGACTGAAGCTACTGGTACCTGAAGACTGAACTGAAACCTTTTTCTTCCTCAACCAGTTACTGCCCCAGTCTTTTGAGCTCTTTGGGGATCTATTAAACATAACCATAGTTTTAATAATAGTAATTATCAGTATATGCAAGAGCCGAGCACTGAACACCTCCATGAGTTTTCATTTCATTTTCTACATTAAAAAAAAAAAAAGGACAACATGCAGAGACATCTTTTTTGATTGACTTCTGATTCTGTTCCAGAGAAGCAGAACGATGCCTTGCTTTTTAAGCCCTGCATAGCAGAATCAAAGATGAGGGTGCATTCCATTGTCAGCAGTGGGGAGCCATGCTGTAATCATGGACACCAGGGGATTAATGTTAGCCCTTCTCTGTTGGTTTTTATACTGTTTATAACACTACTTGGGGGTTTGTAACTTCAGACAGAAAGAAAAGCCTCTCTGAATTTGAGGTTTCTTTTAAGTTATTTTCATATTGCTATAGCTGTAATTCATTTTATTAGCAGTCCCTCCAATTTCATTATATTTACGTACATGTACCTTATCTGAACCAGTTTAAGGATTTTCACTACAGTTTGATTTAAAAAATAACAAATCATTTAAACTTAAAATACTGAAGTCAGATTGTTTTCCCTGAATGATATGCATGTGTTTGCAGTTTCTACGCTCATGCTCATATAGTATGAATGCTGGTCTTACTCTTAACTAAAATCCTTCAAAAAGCATGATTTGCATCAGCTAAATTAATATTGTATGAACTAAAATTGAAGACATTTAATCATTGCTGCTTTTGTGAGAAGACATAGTATGAGTGTTTTCCAAGTTCCATGGAAACAGCCTTTTATAAAAACAAAGGTTTATTTGAATTTTCAATGGATGAGTGATCAAGCATCAGATAGTACTAATAATTGTAGTGAAAAGCCTTAAATACCAAATTTTGGAGCAGCAGTACTTAGAATTTTATACTGGTATTTAAGACTTGTTGCAAACGTTAAATGATACAGTGATTGTTAATGACCGAAATAGTTGCCTCTATCATATTACTAGTGAGGTTTCTAAATTAATGAGCCAGGCTTAAAAAAACAAAGTAAGAATCCCTGTCACTTTTCTCATGAATTTAAAGATTCAGAAGCCTTTATACGAAGGTAACATAAATATATGCAAATGTGTATATACAGTAGCATGGCCACCTTTGCTAGAATGCCTGTAACAGAAGGGATTACCCTTTGATTTTGATATAGGTGAATAATTCAGCTGGACTGTACTAAGAAGAACGTATTTTTATCCATTCACTTTTACCATTTTTTATAATTGACGGATTAATACTTAAGTGAAGATAAGTGAAATTTATCCTGATGCTCATACCTCTGTTCTTACTAGCTGTGCTACTGGAGATTTCAATAAGTAGTCCTGTGAACAGTAAAACACGATTCTTAGTGAAATGCAAAATTTATTTGTTCTCAGTGGAAATCTCATCTTGCCACATAAGCACTGCTTTGCAGCTGTGACTTCACTGAGTTATGTGCACTGCATACCATCAGGTTTTGGTAAGCAGATTGTAAGTTGCTGCTCATAGTCAAATTTAGTTCCTAAGATAACCTTTTCATGAGTTCCCTTTGAAAGAAGGACCGAAAAGAAACATTCAGCCATGGTCAGTGACATAAATAATATATCTATGTGTCAAGGCATGTTTGAAATACTCTGAAAACATGCTACACCAGTAACTATTGGACTTCTCTGGTCATAAGAAAGAAATGCTTCTGTAAAACCAAAATGCCAATCACAGTAGACCAAATAGTGGTATAAACTCCAAAGGAAATAATGTAGTTTTCCCAAAAATGGGGCTAGCATATCTTATACAGTAGTTTCAAACACTACCTCAGTTAGGCTAGAGTATAAGAGATTTGTTTTAATAACTAGATAGGGTTACACCAAACAACTCCATGTTATTTTTTTGCAGTTAAAGCAAAATAAACCAGTTTTATCACCTGTATTTAAAAAAAACCCCTTTGTTCATTTGTGACCAGTTTAACCCATAGCACTTAATGTAGAAGGTGCCGTAGGAAGGCCTGTGATTATGAAAGGTAAGCAAAAGTGATGTCAATATACTTCTGAAAGAATTTCCATCTTTAAATGCTTATGTGTTCTGAACACTTGCTTATGTGGGGATCCATAACAGAAACTTGATGTACAAATTATGGCTGCAAATTCAGTTATAAAACATAATTTTTCTTCTGAAAGTGTGTGAGTCAGAGATTTCAACAAGTATGCATCAAGGTTGTAAAGTCTGTACTGTACATAACATAAAACATTTCTAGAATTTACATATTTACATGAAGCTCACATTAATGTTTCATTTTAATTGGCAAATGAAGGGATACTGTTATTGAAGGCATTTTATATTGGCCTAGATATAAACTGTGAATTTCTAATTCTGTAGATTTCTCTTTAAAAATATCCCTTTCAAAGTTCTTACTTTGGGGTTTTATTTGCTTCATGATAAAACTTAAAGAGAAAATGGTATTAAATAAAGATTGTGCTTATATTAACCCTAATAAAGAATCCTTCCACTTTCCCTAGAAAGGTTTCCAAGGGAAGCTGACAGACCACCCACTTTGTATTTTTCCAATGCAAACAATTGGCAATACTGTTGAATAAATGGTAAAGCATATAGTATTCCCTTGCGCTATATACAAATACAGCTTTTTTGCTGTGGCAAAGAAAACTCATGAATGATTCAGCCTGCTGAGACAAAATAGGCTTCTCTGAGACAAAAGCCTTTGTGGCAGGGGGAGGCTGGGTGTGAAACCAATAGCATTTAGACTGCTGCATTAGCTGGCTAACTTAGTCTCCTTTTACAGTCAGCAGAAAGGGGATAGCCCTTTCCTAAGGGCAGAGACCTAACTAAAGGGCTCCCAGTTGCTTCCCTAAGGGGCTGTTTCTCTCCACCGAGTGAGGAGGACAAAGCTGCATGCTGTGAGTGTCCTTTTTGGAGTGAGACCTTTTCAGCTGCCGAAATTCAGAGATGCTGAATGCTTCCAGCTGTCATGGACATTGCTTGGAGCTGGAAATGGTCAGGCTTTGTTTGAGGAGCCTAACTTGTATGTTGGACCCCCGGGATGTTGTGAAGTAGCTGCTTTTTTCCTCACCTGACAGCTGTACTTGACCTGGTGTACTTACCCTAGATGTGCTTCCATTTGGTTTTGTTGTTTTTTCCCCAAGACATAATGAAGTGCTGAAGTATGCAGTAGTTTAGGGCACAGGAGCTTGGCACACTGAGGTAAGATACCCTTACAAACATTTAAAAAGGCAGCAGTGAGAATTCTGCCCATACTTTATGTCATTTTGAAATATATGTTGTCTTGAATTCAAGTTGTAATTTGTAGTGAGAGACTGAGAAAACCTATAGCACATTTACTAGGCACCTGAAGAGAAAGGTAGCAGTTTTGAGAAATGGGTAATAAAGCCTAGTGAGAGATGAAAGAGTTGTTGCTGCTTCTTCATCTGTGTTGCGGTCTTGGTATTTGGCTGTTTGGACTGCAGGAAGCTGGTATTACCTTGTAAGCAAACATGAACTCAAGCTGAGCAGTCACGGTGGAAGAATTCTTGCCAGGCTTGGGAGTGTCTCCAAAGTTTCTGCTTGCCTCTTGACAGGGCTGCACAAAAGTCCTGTTAACGTAGAGCTTCACTGAAGCCAGCTGAAAGCAGGTCATGTAATTTTTTTTAAGTTACGCTTCTATTATCATGTACTTACTAAAAGCATACTAGGAGAGAACAAAAACAGAACAATAAGAACATGCTAGAAACCATGTTTGTATTTTGCTAGAAGCTCTCCATCTCCTTGAATGATTTTAACTCCTGATTTTAGTTCCTTGGATAGTGTGGATGTGGATTTTCTTTGGACTGTTTTTGTAACATAGATGGACATCAATGCCACAGCATGCAGAAATTGCACATTTTGCTTGAGTTGCTTTGTAAAATACACTATTTTATTTGAGAAATGTAATTTATGCCAAAAAGTGTAACATGCCATTTTGCCACTGAATAGGTTGTTTTAGCACAAGATGCAATGTCTAAAGGGGAAAAGGGCAGACATTTTGTATATTTAATTGGAAAACTGTTCCAATACTGGGCTGTCAGCATCCCTGAAACTGAGATTAGCTAAAGTAATCATTCTGAGGAGGGAAGGGGATCAAGGAAAATTTTAAGACTTATTCTCCCTGTCCTGTGTGGTCTTTTTTATTTAGTAATACGCTGCTACATAATTGGAGGTTCTAGTGTTTGTAGGTCACTGAACAGACATTGAAATCTGATTTATATTGTATACCTGTAACATAGAAAGAAAAAGTATTTATATATTTTCCGTAAAAATATTGCATTGAGCTGTGTATAATTTAAATGGAGGCTTGTCCCAAAATGGTATTGCCCACCTTGATTTTTTGGGTTTTTTTTTCTGTTTTTTTCTGTATAGTGTGTACAGTTCATGTCAATGGGCATTAAAAGCCTCCTGAAGCATAATCTTACAAAGGGATGAATTGTTAATAAAATGTACTTAAACTTCTTACAGTTGTTCTGGTCTGATATGTACCTCTCAGCACTAGAAGTAGGTTGAATTTTATTTATATTTGTAAGTTACTAATTAACTATAACAACCTGAAGCTTTCCAAATAAGCACTTGTCAAAAATATATTTTACATTAAGGCTTTGTAGGATGTCTTACAAACATAGAAAGAGACTCTTTTAATAGGCTGTATACTATTTTTATTTTAAATATTAGTTCTCAATATCAGCATACTGATATTGAGAACTAATAATTTTCCATTAGGTGATAGTTTTAAGTATTAGCATTTTAACAGCTGTGAAAGTTGAATTATAAACAAGAATAATGATAGTTTACAATTTTGAACTCATTCAACTATTAATGCAAGACACAGATGTCTTAAAAATACATAAAAATTACATATGCCTATCCACCCATGGAAAAATACTTTTCTAATCTTTAGGTCTAGTGCCTGGACTGTACTCTTTGGGTAGCACAAAGTCATTATCCTCCTTGGAATCCTCTGTTTGTGTGGTTTTAAGCAGAGGTGGTATCATGAAACACCACTCATCAGGGCCAGCAAGCAGAAAGGTTTATAGGTGGAAAGGAGCTAACTTCTCATCACCTTGCCAAGCAGTCTGGTACCTAGTGAAGTGTTTCCTTGCTTCCAGATAATGAAGTTTCATCAGTGCAGGATATCCCTAGGGAAGACCAAGGGACCTGAGGTAGTGACTGTCCACCAGCCAGTGTGTCTCACCCCACCACTGGGAAGGCACAACTACATCACCTCCTGCCACACCCCCTTCCCTCCTTCCCTGGGCTGAATTACCACAGCCAAGCCCCAGTGACAGCAGCTTTTTTGAAATTAGGAATTTGTACTTTAATACAGCTGCCTTCTGGCATGACGAACTGCAGCATGTTGAAATTTAGAATGTTTCATAAGATAGTCAGATGTTTTTGACTGACCTCTGTATCGGAATTCCTTAGATGAGTAACTCTTGATTTAGGATACCTTTCAAATCTTTTTAAATAAACAGGCCTTTTTTTGAAATGCACAGCTTGGAAGCTTTATTTTGGTAGTGGTAAAACAGCTCCCTTCTGTTTATTGGCCTTTTTTCCAGCAGTAAAACATTTAAATTACTGAGGTACATGTGATGAAACGCTTTGGATTCAGAAGTGTTCTAAGTTGTAAATATGCTATGGTATCAATTTTCAAATTCACTGTAACTCGAAGGAGAGTAATGTAAAAAGAGAACAGTTTCTCTGGGATATCTTCATTGAATAACATCAGCCTCCTCTCTTACTTTCCAGTTCTCTGTCAAGCTGCAGTTCAGCTCAACGTTACCAGCCATGTTTCCTTACTCCACTGTCTGATGGCAGAAAGGAAGGACTATACTGCATTATTTTTTTTCTCCTTATCAAGTAAATCTGTGTGACCTACACATGAACACCACAGTGTGGTTTGACTGGATACTTCTAACCACAGTTAGCCATCTGTGTGGTTGTACCTCACCCTTTGCCTGCCTGAAGACTTCTCCCCCTGTTTCCAGTCAGTGCTTGTCTCAGCCAAAGCCTATGCAAAGTCTTACTGGTTTTCATGTTGCAACCCAGCTCATGGACATTACAACACTTTAAGTGTCCGTAAGAACAGTATAAAACCCATATGTGGTCTAGTATCATAACTCATTCTGTCTGCAGCTGCTTAGTTTTTAGGAAGTGTGATTACCTAGTTAAACAGGGAAGATGAGTAACTGCATTTTAACAAATCAGCTGAACGGTTCATTTTTTTCCTTTTGAGAAGTGCTTATTTTGTGCTGTGATAACACCTCTGCAAATAGTTGTCCTGCTGGAATAATAGTTCCTTTCCACTTAACTTCCCCTATTTCTTTGTTTAGTAATAAGGATTTTGTTTAGGATAGTAAAGGGTCATTCTTCCAGGCAGAGAAGTCAGAAGTGTGAGGAGCCCCAATTGCTAGAAATGGGAGCAGCAGCCTACTACCAGGGGACTGTACTACAAAAATCTGTTTTCTGCACTCTTACAACCACCAAGTGTAGCTAGAAGACAGGTGAAGTAAAAGCAAGACAATCATTGGATTTTGGTGCACAGAGTAGCACTCGTAGAGAAGTAAAAGTTCCTCTGATCTTTCAGTAACATGCCACCCTGAATTTGGATAACCCTTCCCTGTTGATTCCTTACATCATTTGAGAGAAAAAAAACAACCCACCTGCCACGTTACTGGGCTGAGGCAGACTCCAAAGCTGGATAATGGCCCATTCACAATACACACTAGCTGGGGCTGGCCAGAGGACATAGTAAGCACCCACAGAATACTGCAAGTGAAATAATACACTCCTTGAGCACAATAACCTACCTGCTTGTTTAACTTGCCCCTCTACTTTGAATAAATTTTTAATATCTGCAAAATAGAGTATTTCTTTGCATCAGGCTATGAGAAACTGCTGTGATCTAACCTACATCATACAGGCCACAAAACAGGCTGTAAATATTCTGTATGCCTATAACTTGTGATGAAACCATAGCATGCATCCTTCCTGTGCACAAGTCAGTATTTTTAAACTAGTCCTGAAGCAAAAGCTTTGCAGTGTTAACAGAAGTAGTGCATCTGGTCTTGTGAAAGCCTTCATCAGAGAAAGTTGTCAGGGTTTTAGAAATTCTTATTTGTATTGTGTAATAAAACACTGGGTGGACTTACTTAATGGAGGAGATTACATCAAAACCTCCTCCCTAGGCAGTGCACATCTGTTTGTGAAATGTATCTTGGACTGGTCTTTCTGCCAGCTGTTTCTCTGGGTGTTGAGGCAGCATCTTCATTAAAAATATCAATGTAGTAGTGTGGCTGGTACAGCACTACTGACAATTCTGGCTGGCTTGCTTGTAGTCTCTCTGGTATTTGATAGGGGTCAGATTCAACTGCAAGATGAGAAGAATAAGCAAAATTTTCAAAACAAGTATGAGTCTGAGGTGTAGGTGTGGATATAAAGTCTCTCTCTTCGTTTTCATTAGGGTAAATCCAGGAAGAGTTGTGACCATCAATCTTATCTTCTGTAGATGTTGAAGACAGCTGGCTCCATGGATGTAATTTCTGGGCTTCAGCCTTACTGTCCACTGCCAGCATGTCAGGAATGGTGTCACTTATTTTCAATACTTTCTCAGAACCAATCTACAATAGAATCGTAAACCAAAAAAAAATTAATGAAAAAAGCCCCCAGTAAAGGAAAGGGAGTGATTACTTCAAGCACTTCTAATATTGTCTTACAATTTTTTTTAGTTTGGATTTTTCAAACAGATTAACAGAATTTGAAAGCAAATATATGTACAGAATGTTCAGTGGAAGCTGTACATGTGGAATTTACCAGTATTTATTTAGAGATTTCTTTTTAAAGTTCAGTATGACTACATTTGAAGAAGGAACCATGTCCCTCTACTTTAAAGTCTTTGCCAGATTTGTGATGTGTGCACTTTTTAGTCTGAAACCCCAGCAACTGGAAGGCAGCAGCACAGGCTCTTCGGTTGCACAGACTTCTCCCTCTGGTGCTAGTGTCCAGTGAACACCAGCAAGCAGCAAAAAGGGCAGCAGTCCCATGTGTGCCAGGGTAAAGACAAGCTCATAGTTTTGCAGCCCCTTTGCATGCTGCGTGGAAGAAGTAGCTCCCTCTTTGAAAGGCCTACAGAAAAGCTGAGGCCTTTTGCCAGTCCTTTCCTCCCAGACAGACCTGGCAGAGCCCCCTGCATCCTTCTGAGGGCCAGCAAGTGCATCTCTGCTGTGCCCTACTGCAGAGGGTTCTGTGGGGCAGGAGGAGTGGGCAGATACAGTTCACAGGCTGCAGCAAATCTAGTCTGTTGTGTTCAGACAGTGCTGGGTTTTAAAGACCAATACTGGAAGAATCACCTGCTGTATCAAAATATTTCATTTATTCTCCAATTATACTTCTGCTTTTTGCAGTAACAGACTGCAGAATATAAACTGGTCACTGCAGTCACAAGAATATAAAAAGGAGAACTTTTCACTACATTATATTAAATTATGTTACTTTCTGTATAATAAGCATCACTCATTTTTAAATGTAGTCAATACAAGAAAATACTTTTCTGAAACTTTAATAATCAAAGAATGGAAAGATTAAAAATACTAGATTTCTAGTGATCTTACCTTAAACTCTTTGAATGACAACACTTTGCTTTTGTTAGGACTAGGTATTACAGGACAGCAGCACTCCTTCACCCTGGAAATAAGACAGCAAAACAAATGACGTTTCTGTTCTCTCATCAAAGCATATTCTACCAGCAGAAGCCACACGTAGATGTGTAGAGAAACAGCAGCAGGTGATGAGGTCTCAGAAATGCCACAAGCCAAATACTTACAACATCCACACAGTTGGACAGCCAAAGGAAAAAAATGAAAAAGCCTTACAAAAGGCTGGAAGCAACAAGACGCAGCTGTGGTTTGGGAATTGTACTAGTTATGTTCTCTGTCTACAACAGAAAAATGCATTATAACTTACCATGTCATCTTCCAGCGACATATAGCTGCTACTAGTGATGGAACTATCACTAGCAGGACTAGAAGGTACAGCATGTTTGCTATGAAAGAAAAATACTTTAAAAATCTGTTTGCAACTTCTCACTGTTAAGTCAATATAGCTTGAGTTTCTGAGAGAAAAATAACAGCAAGATCACATGGAATAGCTGCCACTAATTCAGCAATAAAACTGTGTGGCCTATGGTTGCTACCTAGTTTAGCTGGAAGTTCTGGGATACAGCTACAAATCTTTGGACCAAAACTGAATTATTACTAGATTAATTTTAATTTGCCCTCATGTTGGCATCTTAACTATAAGAGTAAATTTCCAAAAGTTAAGACAACACTAACTTCACCTAACTATTTGGTTTAGGTTTTCTCTCAAATCCCCAAGGATGACAGATTTTTACCATGAGACATTGGCAGAACATCTGTACCTCCAGTATGGATGGACTATAGTAAGACAGACACTGCACAAGTGTTCATGCTCTCCTAAGATTTATGCTAACGAAAGAATCTCAGTATTTCCTTCTAGCTGAAAGACACAGCCCTGGGCTGTTTTTCACAAGCAGTTGAGGCTATAATAAGCAGGGCACAGGGGAGCACTAGTTAGTGCTCCCCCTCCCTCTGCCCTGCCCAATGCCCTTGCCCTGTGCCAGCAGTTTGTGTGTCCCCACCACACACCACAGCAGGAAATGGACATGTGTTACATTCTCCTTCTGTCTTTTCTGGGTTAGTTAAGACCCCCCCCCCCCATTTTGATTTCCTGCATGGCTGTACAAATGTCTGTGCCTGCCCAAGAGAAGGCTGGCTACTGGGAGCTGGAACACGGGTGTAAGAAAGAGGCAGAACTGCCTCTTCAAGGGTAGCCTGAGGGTTCAGACACTCTTCTGCTAGTTAGCCTAAAGCATGCAGTCTCCTCCCATGAGCTAATGCTTCACCCTTCCTCCCCCTTCACCTCCACCCCCAATATGTTTTCCAAAACTAGGCATCTCTGATTTGGATCATAAGTTTCACAACCACAACTGCTGAGTGGTATTTTCAAGGGAACAGAAGTACAGGCAATTGATTTCCTGTTCTGCTTTGGTAAACAAATCTGCCCAGTTAGCAAACTACAATGCTGAAGCCAACAACCCTTTCTTATTGACTTATTAAGAAGTTACCTTGGCAATGGCTTTAAAGCCTGATTAGAATAAGAATCAACATTAGAAGTTCAATAATCCATACAGATTTGCATACAGGTCTGTAGTTTTGGAAAACAAGTTAAATTCAAATGCAATTCTTCAATGCATTCTAGCAAACAGGGCTCACTAGTCATGTAAATGTGCATATATCAAGCTATTTCCCAGAAAAATAGAAGACTTAAATAAGGATATAAGATTATTCTTATTTTAAAATAAAAAATCATAGCTACTTAGAAGTATAAAAATGCCTTGTTGTTATGCACATTTTGTTTCTCAGCTGGATCCTCTCTGAAGTGCACATTAGATTGAATTAGATGTTTTCCTTTAAGAAAGGAAGATTACTCTAACCTTTTAAATCATCCACCTTCTGCTGGAAGACAAATTTTCCACAGCCAATACTCACAGTTAAATGGTGTATCGATGTATCTAAAGTTAACAATGGGAGTCTCTCCTCCACCTGTGTATGCTTTAACCACTAGTTTGTATTTTGTGTTTGACAATAGGTGTTTCACAGTATATCTCTTTTCTTCTGGGTTTTCAATTGTGTATTTACATAGCACTGATTCATCTAAAATGAAACAGATAAGATGGAACCATGGAATCACACAATCACAGAATGGTTTGGTTTGGAAGGGACCTTAAAGACCATCTAGTCCCAACCCCCCTGCCATGGGCAGGGACACCTTCCCCCTAGCCCAGGTTGCTCAAAGCCCCGTCCAGCCTGGCCTTGGACACTGCCAGGGAGGGGGCAGCCACAGCTTCTCTGGGCAACATGTGCCAGTGTCTCACCACACTCACAGGGAAGAATTTCGTCCTAATATCTAATCTAAATCTACCCTCTTTCAGTTTGAAGCCATTACCCCTTGTCCTATCAGTACAAGCCCTAGTAAAAAGTCTCTCTCCATCTTTCTTATAAGCCCCATTTAAGTATTGAAAGGTTGCAATAACGTCTCCCCAGAATGTTACAAATCAACTTAACTGAGACTGCTAGACTACTGAAATAACAGAACGTTTGCAACTCGCCTTCTTTGTAATTTGCACACTCTCTTTTTGAGAAGGATGATGCATCCTGACTCATTGACTCTGGGCTGAACTCACATCCCTTCTAACTGGACTGTCCACAGCATTGCCTATCCTCTGGCAGACCACCTAATATCTTGCTGCCAAAAGCTGCAACTGTGTATTTTAATTTCATTTTACTAGAACTTTTTAACAGAATTATTTGCGTTTTGCCATTTCCTTTTTTGCCAGAATCCTGTAGTCCTTAACCTTAGGTCAAGTTCTTTGACAACATTCAAAAGCAAGAAATCTCTGCCTGAAAAAAACTCATTTGCCTCTATTGCGCAGCTCCCGGACACCAAGGAGTAAAGGGTTAGCTTATTCCTTCTGTTCCCAGTCACAGTTCTTGTCTGCTAGCTCAGACAAAACGGGAAGAAGGAAATCTTCAATTTAAACATTTTAAAGTCTACCTGGGATTACTCACAGAATTATAGTACTTCTATGGTTAGTTTAGTTCTGACAGGAATCCCTATATAAGCCTCCTTCAGTTCAAACTTTCCAGCCTGGTACTAGTCTTATCAGCAGAGGGATCTGATAAATGACATGTCCCAACTGAAAGAAAAGGCAAGGAAAAAAAAAAATATCCTTGAACATGTTGGAAACATTTGAAAATTATAGTGGACCAAAGTCAGCTGGAGCATTTTTGAGTGTGGAGTAGGAAGATCAGATATAAAAGTCTAAACATGGCTTTGTGCCACCCCACGCTCGGTTCTGCTGAAGGAACTCCATGTAGAGCACATCCACAAATAGTTTCACTTTAAAAGAATTTAAATGGGGAATTTACACAGTGCTCCAATCCTGAAGGAAATAAATTGTATCCCATCTGTTTCTAAAATACCCCAAATCCTAGTAAAACTAACAGACTTCCTATGATTCTCATCCAAGCAGACCACAAACAGATGTTTTTGAAATTCATCCAGAATTCAGATCTCAAGAGGCAGAAACCTGACTCCTCCTACACTACTGCAAAATTTTTTTCTGGAGCTCACGCTGAAGTTAGAAGGAGCTACAGACAACAGGATGGGGGCTATAATTCTGTATAAAGCCAGGACACACTTCCACCCATTAGCATCTCAAGCATTAGAGAGGAATAAAAAGTAGCAAGTGTTGAAACCTTTATATTGCCTCATGATCCCATTTGCCTGGCTAATATGAACTTTCTAGGAGGCTGCAATATCAGCAAGAGTCATGAAGTCTCTCACCTGTAAAAACACAACTTCCTAAATCTCAGAGCTCATTTACCTGGAAGAACATGTTTTTTGGATCCTTTCAAACTGCAGTCCTCATGTATAGGCGACACATAAACATGGTAGCCTCTTACAAAACCAGGCTGTGACTCATTTGTGGGATAAGAACCCCAAGATAGTGTTACTGCATTGAAAGTCAGTTCAACTTTTTCCACAACAGGGTCAAGCAGAGGAGCTGGAAGAAAGGAAATTCAAGTTAAGCTTGACATTATTCTTCAAGAATTTTATCTTGTCACTTGAATAACATCTAAATTCCTATGTGGTGTTTCTGTTTATATCTTATTTGTATTTAAAAGCTGAACAGAGCCAAAGAGCTCCATAAAATCTCTTAACTTAACAGAGCCTCCATGCAGTCCACGTTATACACAAAGCTAACAACAGCTTTGGTTAGCTATTCTAATTACCATGAATTCTACCTGGTCACTACACTAGCCAAATATCCTAGATGGAGAGCCGTGTACGTTGTACAATTTTAAATACTTCACTGATGATGTTGAAACAACACAGCAAATACATATTTAGCCAGCTGCAGGAGGCAGGCTATGGAATTCTGGTCATGACAGATGAATTTAGCAAATACACAAACCCTAAATATGTTGCCAACTTACGTAGCTCCCTGAGATAACCAGTCTTCTTTGCCAGTAAGAAGGCTCTATTAGCAACAGATCCATAGATGTGGAAGTTGTATCTCACGCCTGGAACAAACGCAGCTAGAAAATAGTGTAACTGATTACAAAAATAGGTTACGATTTGTCTTTTGGTTTTGCTTTTACTTAACTGCTTTCTACAGAGGTCAATAATGCATTAAAATCTTCCTAGTGTGCTATTGTGCTATTAAAGCAACTGAAACAGACACAGGGTAAACCAGTTCTTAGTGTGAATAATGTGAATTGAACACACTTATTCTGTCTGAGAGACAGAAATGGGAGAGTGAATATAATTTTGTTACCCTAGAGTATTCAAGATGAGTGCACAATAGACTCCAAATGCATCAAAGAGCAAGATAATTTCATATCTGTCTCTGACACAGGCAAAGGTGGTGTTTTGGTCTGTTTAATGTAGACATATACCAATACATCAGGATTCCATGTTATCCTCACTAACATCCCCTTCCTTTCAGATTAACCAAGTGAATCCACCAAAGAACTGAACAACATATTTTCCACGTGATACCACGCTCTCCCTCATTACGGATGAAGGTTCCCATGTGTTTGTATGAACTGAAGTGCAGTTCCTTTACTGCACATTGAAACACATTCAGTCAAATTTTGTTCAAACATATTTCATTTCAAAGTGAACTCTCAGCTCAAGAGACACCAGGAAGGCTATATTCTTGCAGCTGTGGAAGTATTTCAGAGCAACTTTCCCATAACCAGAAAGGATTTAGGTCTAATGGCCACCATTGGGATAAAAACCACACAACTGGTGCTGAGATACATTATTTGTGGCACACTGACAGCACTAAACCTCTCACTGCACAGTGGGTGTTAAATTGCCCAAGTCTAAACTTTTGACCCATGTTACAGATAAGGCAAAACTTCATTTTCCACCTCTCCTGCTAAAAGATGTTTAACTCCTTCATTAACCTCACCACTCTCCCTCAAGATGTTACTACAAGCTACTCAGAAGAGTTTTTTTCTAAAATACTACGGTGACTTTTCTAAAATGCTATGCTGACTTCTAAGGCTTAATGGTGGTAACACATTTGTGGTATCTAATTCATTTGCTAGACAAAGCATGATGCCATAAGCCTTTGAAGAATTACACCTGCACTACACAGACTTCAATATTCCAAAGTATTTGTTTCCTAAATTCAGTTAATGTCCACAGCATGAAAGATTGCTGCACAGACAGAAAGAAAAATTGCTTGGTTTTCACCTGAGTTGATCAGAGCACTGGAAGTGTTGGGCCCAAATCTCTTCCACTGGAAATCACAAGGCTGCAACATTGGAAAGTTACACCAGTCGATAACATAACTGTCATATATATGTCTGGGCTCCCAGGAAATAAAAATGCCATCATCTGTACCATTAACCCGTTCTTTAAGCTCTTCAGTGCCTAGGAGTGAACAAATCAGAGTCTCTATTATTTTCCTGCATGACAACTAAGATTCAGAAATGATCAATATAGTTTATACATTAAACTCCTAAAACAAAAATAAAATAATTTAATTCCTTCACTTCCAGACATATGGGATCTTTCCCATGCTGAAAGCTGATCTCTTTGCATGCTGAAAGCTAACAGCTCAAAAAACATCCAGTAATTATTACTATATATTCATAAAAATAACTCAACTGCAGAAACCTGGAGTGATAAAACAGAAAGCGCCAAGAGGCTAAATCACACACAAGAGTTCCCCATGAAGCACTGGCTGCACCTTCACAGCACCTGCCACAGGTCTGAGGCCCTAGTTTAAGGCCAAATGTGTTTTGCTCTGTGGTGACTCTGTACAAAACAGACCTTCTGTTGTAAGGGATGGGTCAAGGCACTTAAGCTTAATACACATACAGTTTCTACACTGTAGGTAAAAATACAGTAATAATTTCCAGATAGCAATGATGTGAGTTAACAGGCCAGGTTAATTTGTTCCCCCAAGATGATAAATTATCATTTCATTTAAAATAGGTAGAAACAAAACTCTCTTAATGGAAATCTAACTGAAAATACTCCTACTGTTACCTGTAGCTTTAGGGATGATCAGTACTGAAGGAAGTGAATAATTAACATTGTTCTTTGCCACGATACTGATTCTGTAGGAATGGTTATCAATTGAAATCCTTGTGCTATTGTAGACAGATGAAAAGGAGATGCTTTCAGGCTTAGAACCATTTTCTACTTTTTCCCAGCTTACTTCATATGAAATACTTCTTCCATTTGCTCGAAAACTTGGTGCTTGCTGGGGAAAAAGTTATGGGGGTAGACACCAATTACTTAGTAAATTTTGACAAAAAAAATATGAGAGGAGCATTTAGAACCTTAACTAACTAATTGGATTTATTATTTATGTAAGAATATAAACACTTGCTTCCATACATGCATTATTATACTGGCTGAAATGGAAATGCAGAAATCGTCTCTTTATACTACTTAGAAAAACAGAAGTGTATGTCTGAAATGCCAGGACAGCACACCATTGTACAGCTATATACATTCTGAAATGTTATATATAATATTTGTCTTAGATTCTTACAAGACATTTTTATATTGAATTGCTATTAAATGCACACAAACTTTTTAAAGTTCATGGGAGAAGTTTCCAACCTCTTTATGAATGGGTTTGTTTCCAGTTCTGTACTGATGTCTCACCTTCCAGAACAAGGTCACATTCCGTCCCCCCAGAACAGGTGTAATTTGTCTCCAGATGTCCAGTTTCCCTGACGGAGCTGCAATAAATACAGAAAACCAAAGATGTTCTAGGTGCAGAAAGGGTAAACCATTTAATTGCTTCCTCCCATTTGAAGAAATTCCACACCCAAACCCTCTTTTTCTCCATCACTCCCAGGTCTTGCCAAAACATTACCCCTTAACTTCTTCCTCCCTTCATTCTTTTTTCTGAATGAATGCCTGGTCCATTTCTGTAGAAAATATTTCTTTGTTTGCAGTTCCCAGGTGTTTGTCCTACCTCTGCACAGTTCCTCCAGCCCCCACAGAACACTTTAACTAAGTCCATCCACCCTTACAGTCATCTGGATTTCCCACTGCCTACACTGGATGAAATGGCAGAGACTGGCAGATAGGATGAGAGTTGTTTAAGAAGCCACCTTCCTAAAGGTTGCTTAGTATGCTTCAACTTTTATGCATGCAGCAGGCCTCTGCTACACAGCAGAAAAGTAGCAACAAATAGCAGAGGTGGCAAGCGAAGAACATCCTTCAAGCTTCCCTTCTCAATAGACTGGACATACTTGCTTCCTTTGTTGTGATGGATCGGGCTTCACTCCATTCACTCCACTTCCAGAAATGCTTAGCTGCCCCACAGTGTACTCTAGCTGCATATGTAGTATATGGCTGCAGTCCACCCAGGGTGATGCTGGCATAATGGAGATGTGTGTCTGAGCTATTGTGCTGCAAGACAGAAAAACAGAAGAGTCAGAGCTTAGTTCAGCTTCATTAACAACAGGTTTTTGTCTGAAAAAAAAATAGTTCTTCCTCTAGATCCTATGACAGCCAGTTAAGCTTCACCTGGAAAAAGGTAATCATGGAACAATAGTGGGGGAAAAAAAAAAAAAAGAAAAAAAAAAAGATATGCACAAGAGCAAAACACTGGGAGATCCAAAAAGAGGTCTGAAAGCTGTCTCTGTGTAACTGTCTGAGTAGGAGTCATTCACAACCTGTCAAATGACTACCTGAGGCAGGGAGTTTACTGAGATCTTATCCTCACACAGTCTGGGTCTCTTATTCAGTTCATGTAAGTAGGATGCTCTTCCAGATCTATGCAAGGCATCAACAGCTACATTTTCTGTTCGTTTTTCCCTGACCATTTCCCTCACTCCCTCATAGGAGAGAGGGTGAGTTTGGCTAAGAGTCAAAAACTGAGCATGCTTTTAAACCTCTCCTCTAAACTGTCTCCTGCAATGGTGAGCTGTGGCAGTCATTTGATCTAACAGCTCTCGAGAAATACTTAAGGCAATGCAGGTTGATCCTGATCTTCATAATGCTTTTTTTAATATGCTAGAGACAAGCTGCCTTCCTAAGAAAAGGTCTACAGAGAAACCACAGTACACATTCAAAGAGTCAGTCAGCCTCAGTGTTTGTGAAAGAGGTGGAACAAGACAAGGAGCCTACTCAAATGGGAAGAAAAAGTGTTCTGGGTTCCCTCTCTAGAAACCAGACAAACTACCATCAAGTATAGTCAAGAGCAGTCAGAAAGCTCCCGGACTAATACAAAGCCTTCAACACTCCTCTCAACCATTTGTGTGTAAAATGATACAAGTAACAAAACCATGACAAATCAAGATTAGGAATAGCTAACAGCAATTATAAGGCCTATAAGTATTTTCATTTACTTCAACAAATGTCAGAACCCATCCAGCAGAGGACAGAACCACGTATGTGGACCAGTCACACTGTCTACTGTGACCAGCAGTATAGGAAGTGTTGGGAGTATGAATTAGTGCCAGCAATGGCTGCCCTCATGGACCACATCATCAGTGCAGACCTTAGGAACAAACAAATTCAGAAAACAGACACACCAACACATTCACAAGATTTAGAATATATTCATATTGCTGGGGATTTATTTTTTAATCTCACATCAAAAAGATACTTTCTATATCTTTGTGTATGAAATTTAGGTTTCATACCAGTTCTACTTTCCCATCAGGCTGGAACACTTCAGTCTGACAAAAGAGTTCAATTCCTTTGTTTTGATGTTTCCAATATAATGTGATTTCAGTATCTGTGTATTCTTCCCACAGCTGGAAAGGTGCAGCAGGATAAACTACCAATGGAAAATCTGAGTTAGCTTTTGTAAAACATAAAATATATGCAAAAGTATTTTAAGGTATTTTAGCTGAACAGTAAAAGCAAATAAGAAATAGATATTTTTTTTTCTGCCCGTCTAGGAGAAACAGATAATTAGTAAAAATTAATTTTAGAATGCAAATACAAGTAAATGTTGTAAAAGATTTTTAAAAACCAACCTTGTGCTGACTTGGAAGTATTTTGGAACATCATGAAAAAAAGTCAGACTTTTATTGCAAATCCAGCAAAATTCTCTAATCCAGGGTCTGGCAGAGGCTCCTGATGCAGCATGGTGAGTAACATTTGCCACATTTCTACACCCCAGATAACAGACTCTTCACCAGAAATTTTATTCACAACTCTTATTGAAACCTGACAGAAGTTACCCTCTGGTAAACAGTGCCAATTCTACTTCTTCCAAAAGATTTCTGAGATCCTTTACTGCTATGTAAGTAGTATTAAGCAAGAGCAGCAGATCTCAAACTCTCCTGTATTATCAGTCCAGTTGTAAGTAATAAGACATGGTAATGCAAGTGAGTGGTATGTTTACAGCTTCAGCCATTATCCTAGAACTTCACAGAATGTGAATTACAGTTTGAAGACTTCCAGAGTCAAAGGAGCTTGTGTTCGATACAGAAGGTCCCAGCTACCACATACGAATTGGAAACAATTAATTTCAGTTTTCCTTTACTTGCTGACATCCTTTCAGTAAGAAAAAGTCTAGTGAAAATATGTCTAGGATCAGAGAAGACATAAAGGTCTTTACAGCAATCATTATTTAAAAGGTTAACTTATCATAAATATTATATGTCATTTCTTTAACTTGTAACAATCACTAGAACTGGAAAAAGAAAATAGTAATTAAACTTTTATGTACTTAGCAAATTAAATGTGACCTATTTTAGCCTGAATTCCCATGAAAATTTACTTTATATTGTTGTCTCACTACAACCTGTCAGTTTCCTCCTCCACCTCCTGCTCTATTTCTTCCATCCCAAACAATCAAATAATCAACTTCTAGAATTCTTATGCCTCTCTGACACAAATTTAACAGAGACAGGCATTTAACATAAGTTCCTGCAAGTCATATGAAAAAGCATGTCTAATAAAACTGTAATCAGTGCCTCTGAGGAAGGAAGCACTGCTAGAATGCAGCAGTTACACCAGCAGCCTCCCTGTCCATCAGCCTGTCAGCTTCAGAATTAAGCAAAGAACATGTTGCCTCCTGCTTCTTCAAACAGGTAAGGCTGCCATAAGGGAACACTGAGTGCACGTGGTGCGGCTAGAGGACAGAAGAACTGCAAATACCTGCTGGAGACGCAGTAAACACCCAGGTGTTTTGAGGCAGGAGTAGGTAGAAATTTATGGGGCACACTGTGACACAACTGACAGGGAAAAAGGAACCACAGCCATCAGTTACTGCTCACAGAATAGTCTGGTTTGTTTCACTGATGGGGAACTACACTTCCTCCCTTACAGTACCACAGCAGATGTCACTTAGCATAGCAGCACCAAGTCACATTTGCACTAGCACCTCTTTCCTGGCAATAGCTGCTTACACTTGTCTCACATCTCATTTGGAGAAGTAATCGGTTAGTAATTTTATTTACCCACTTTTCAAAACCTCTCCATTTTATTTTGGAAAGACAGTAGCATTTCCAATAATATTCTGGAGAAAGGGCTGAATTCCCAAGAAACCTCCACAGATACTTTTCTTGAACGTCCCATTTTATATCCTTGTATCATGTTGCTTCTTATACTATGAACCAGCTTCAGCAAAGAAGCAGATTTTGAAGCATTAAGGGATTATTTCAATAAACAAATCTGACCTTTGGAGTGAATCTTTTTTCTACCATTAACACAACTTTGCAAAGCTGAAACTGAAGAGACAGCAGATAACTATAGCACAGGGACAGATGATTAATAAAAACTGTGAAGACAAAAACCAAGGACTTCCATACTTTAAACTGGGGCACTCAGATTAAGATTAGAAGAACAAGGCCTGCAACAAAAACCCTCAACAAAGACACAGAAAAGACCTTACTTCTGTGAGTTACATCAAAAACATCCGTGGCAGTTTTCTTTCCCAGCGGATTTTCCACAGTCACTGTGATATTACAGATCCTCTGCTGGCCTACATCCCAAGAACACGAGCACTGCTCAGAACAACTTACTGTGCACGGAACTGTTTGTTTGGAAAACCTATCAAAGAGCAGGGGGGAAGACGGGAAAAAAGACAAAGACATTTTTCCATAATGCACAATTGACATAAATGTTGAAATTTTTGTTGCCCAAGTAGAATATAACAAAATAAAAAATAAGGCTGAGGGGGACTATATGAAGCCACCCAGTTTTCTCCTAGCCTGAAGTAGGTTGAATATAGATTCTCACAACTAGAAGAAAGTTTTCTTCAAACTCTAAGTTCACTTTATCCTTTTAAGATAATTCTAAGTTTACTTTACACTTTTAAGATACAGCTAAACTGCTTTTAGTGATTTCCTAATGGAAATTCTAAACTAGGGACTTACTTGCCAAGAATTAATCCATTCATATGTCTACCACTATTCTTTTAAATGAAGCAGTAATTTCAAGTGCATTTTCTAACTTTCCATTTTTAAATCACCATCACAGTATCTTAATGGAATTGAATGATGCAGAGGCCATGAAGGTATATGCAATAATGACCTGCTTTCTGCTGAGATCTTTTGATGAAAGTTTGTTGTGATGATGAGATATCTGGTTTGTTTTATGAGTTCCCCTTTCTCTGAAGGCACTATTGTAAAGCCCCTCTCCATTTAGATGGCTCTGAAGCAAGAAGCGAAGGGCCAGGTCTGATATGCCACAGCTATGTAACCTTGACACAGACTGCTAAATAGCTGTGAGAAAGTTTGCAGAGAGATTTAAAAAAAAAAAAAAAAAAAAAAAAAAAGATTGTCAGTAGGTCAAGGACTCAAGAAGGAAAACATCAATATATAAAGTCTTAAAGAAAAAGAACTAGGGAGGTTAATCAGACTAACTGAGGGTTAGCTGGGAATCATCAATTTCAGTCACTGTTAGTGTCAATGGGTTGTGAACACAGTAATACTTAGACTACCAGCTGATTAAATCCTAGTTATCTGTTGTGTACGTTATCCAATAATTATGTTATAGTTTTAAGTTATTAGATATTTATCCAGATTGCAGGGTGTCTTCATATCCACTGAAAGATGTCTGAACAAATTAACCCAAAAAGAATGGTTAGAACAAGCTTTACCAAGCAGAACTGGTCTAATGGACCTCCAACTACTTACAGGTAGTCTAATTCAGAGAAGTTCCGCATAGCTCAAAATTTGTTAGTTGATCAGCGAGCTGGAAAAAGGCAGGTAGCTAATTGCAGTAAGGATAAAAACCATTTGCACAGCTATTACAGGGAAGAATGTGACTGTTCTGTACAGCACAGGCCAGACAATATAACAATGAGGAGACTTACTCTTCAGACAAGGTGTATTTTGGTGAATGACGTCCATAAAGATTGGTGTCTCCACCTTGGCTCCAAGTACATGTTACTATTCTCATGTCTTGGGTTTGGCAGGAAAAATATTTAGGTGTATCAGGTGGTTCTTTTCAGATGGAATAGACATAAAAAAAACCCCAAGAGCGTGACAGTCAAGGCAAAAGTCATCAACATTTTTACTATACTAACAAACTAGAAATAATGGATATGGACAAAGTCTGGTTTATTACAGATGTTACTATTTCAATTATACATATTCAGTGACCACTCTGCAGAAAAAGTCAGGTTAACACCATAAATTAATTTCAATACAAACACTTCTCTGTGTTACTATTTTTTGTTATATTCATACATTCATTAATATAATCTGTATTGTTTTCTATCTGTAAAAATTACTACTAGCCTTTGAAAGGGGTACTGTGCTGAGTTTTTACCATATGCACACAGACAACAAAGCTGAACTCCTAAATGGGTAAGTATATTTAAAAAGCAATCACCTGTCCTAGGATCAATTAATGACATTAATCTGAACACATTTAATACTATTTTTTAATGCCTTCTATATGCAAGTGTAAGCACAGTTCAGCTGGACATGACAGGACAACGACAACTTACAGCAATATTTTTTTTCCTCCCTCCATTCCCCACAGCCATTCTTGACTTAATAACAACAGGAAAATAGAACTGTAATAAAGCATTCACTTACTACCAACAATGTAAACTGCATGATCATAGCACTGTTCTTCATTGCAAGACTCCATACAGTAGGCAGAGATGTGAGGCACTTCTTGATGTGCCACATTTTTTACAGTGAGAAGTCCAACTTGACCATTTGTGTGGTTGAAAACATGAACAGGTGGGTCTAGAAAGAATTCCTTAATGATATGACCTTTCCTTGCAATGCAACAAAGCATGATGTCAGAGCCTTCCTCTACAATTTTTTCATTTGGAAAGATTTGTGGTCCACTGTTATTTGAAGTGTCCAGGCCTGCAAATTAATACATAATAAACCATTTCAAAATCTGCTCATGGCAGCCACCTTCAACCAGAACCAGAACACATAACTGAGCATTTACACATGAATCTGCTAATGTTATATTATCCATTCATGCACTTCTATTTAGTATTGTTCCCCATACAGAGATCAAATTCACATGTAATCATACCTATATTTCTCTTAAACCCATAAACATACAATATAGTCCAATAAACTACCTAAGAGACTAAATTAATCCACTAGACACTACCTCCTGCACCTATGACCAATCTGATGCTTACAGCCAAAATATCTGCTCTTGAAGATTATGAGCAGGGGCCTAGAAAAACGTTGTCCTGGTTTTGGCTGGGACAGAATTAATTTTCTTCCTAGTAGGTGGTACAGTGCTGGTTTTTGGATTTACTCTGCTGTGCCTGGGAGCATTCTGATAACAGCAATGGTGATGTGCCTGTGCTGGCAGATGGCCAGGACATTGCTGCTGTTCCTGTGTTGCTGTACTGGAGAGGCTGGAACTCCAGTGTGAACTCAAGTCAAAGGGGCTGTGTCCTGTGGATGAGTCCACATGGGAGCAGGACACCCCAAAGTGTCTGTGGCCGTGGATAAGTCCACAGAGCAGGTGTATCTCGAAGCATTTGTGGCTGTGGGTATGTCTGTGCCACAGCAGATATAGCTCTGATGGGACTGTGGCCCAAGAAGAAGTCCTTGCTGGAGGAGGTACAAGCATCTGCAGCTGTGGGTAAATCCATGCTGCAGCAGGCACACCATGAAGCATCAGTGGTTGTGCATGAGGTCATGCTGGAGCACCTCAAAGCGTGTGGCCATGGATAAGCCCACGACAGAGCAGGTACCCCTGGAGGGACTGGCTGTGGGTGAGGCCAGGTTGGAGCAGATTCACTTTTGAAGGGACTGTGGCTGTGGGTAAGGCCATGCTGAAGCAGGTATATCTCTGAAGGGATTGTGGCCCATGGATAAGGCCATGCTGGAAGGGGTGCACCTCAGAGAGAATGTGACTGTGGCTCACAGGTTCCACTTGGAGCAGGTGCACCCCTAAGGGACTGCAGGCTGTGGATAAGTCCAAGACGGAGCAGGGGCAAGGGGAGGACTTCATCTCCAAAGAAGAATAGTGTTTCTTTACAAAATCACTGTAGTCATTTTTTTCTAAAGCAGTTAATATTTTGTTTAAACAAAATTATCTGGAAATGGAGCTCTTCTGGTAAAACATAGTCATATGAAAAAAAAAGGTTTTTGTGATATCATTAATTACATTATTGATTCACTCCCTGTTTACTCTCATATAATTCACAGTTCATTCCAAGTGACATAAGGAGCTGACTTGGTCCTCTCTTTCCACTTCTTCAATACTCATCAAAGCTATGAATCCCAAACAAAAGCAATATATGCATCAGATGACATAGCCATCGCTATGCGCTTCCTCTCCTCTCCCCCATCCGGGCCAAGGCTGCGTCTGACCTGGTGATAGGTTACCCTCTGAAGCCTATCCAAGATCCCAAGCCACTCTATGTACTGCATTGTTTTAACATGTGAGCAAGAAAAGCTCTAAAACTTTTTGTCTACTAGCTTAGGATGATAGTCTGCAAATTAAAACAATGGCTGAAGCATTGCTATTATTGCCAACAAAAAAAGAGTTGTTTTGTGCCTAGAGATGAAAGAGTTCAAACTGGATTTTTGATTTGATGCCATCTCTCCTGAACTGGACTTCACTGTTACAGTCACTGGTGAATAACAATCTAGCTTTGTACTGGAAAAAATAAAACCAATATTGCAAAGTCTTGTTTTGCTTACCCGGGACAGTCTCCCACACACTCCACTGACTCCAGATTTTTGATGCTTCTGCTTTGCTCCTGATCTTCACTGAATGTGACATACACTCCAAAGGTAAATCTGAATCCCATCTCCAGTGAAGAGGCTTTTCTGATTTATTAAGTGTGACATTATGGAACTCCTACAAACAAAGGCCAGTTAGGCAAAGTACTGAAAACACAGTGATGTCTAGACACTTTGGAAGTACAGTCAAAAGGAGTGTGAGAGAGAGAAAGCTCAAATGAGGAAAATGCTTTTGAAAAATAAATCTCTGAAATCCCACTTGCTACACATGATCTCACGCTAGTAAACTAAGTAACTGCTTACAAATCCGTACTAGCAGAAACAGAGTGACTGACCCACTGGTAAGACTACTTGATTTTGGCAACATAGCTGTGAGTCAGGCCCTGCTTCTCATGAAATGGATTTGCTCTCAGAGACCTTCAGTGGATTATTTGCGCCTGCTATTACATGAGTAATAGCACACACAGATGCTGCTGCCTGCAAGTGCACCTGGTCTAATGCTCTGGGTTACCTACCTCTGGCACTGAATTACAGCAGGAATCTCTACTGGCCAGTAAGGATTTATGCAGATGACATCTCCTTGTAGTTCTGAGGACAGTACTACCATCAGTGACCAGCAGAATAGGAAAATATCTGCTGATTTCCCCAAAATGTTTGACTGCTGTAAAATGTACATGCAAGAAACATGAAAAAAATGCATCCAAAACTTTTAGAGCTCCATGAAGGTAACAGGATAGCCTATAATATAAAATGAAGTTCAAAGAATCATGAGAGCTAAGCGCTCTGTCATTTGGCAAACATTTTTGTATTGAATTATATAAACGCAGACAAACAGCAAAAAAATATAAAATGTTCTGCTGCTCTCTAAGAGAGGATATCCCGCAAATTTATCTCAGCATGTACCTACTAAGGCCCAGCTGGGCACTAAATGAGCTGCACCAATACATGGTACAGCAATTCAAAGAAACCAGGGCACCACATAGACACACAGACAGATGAAAATGTATCCCAAATCAATCTCCCCTGGCATGAAAGCCTATAAGAAGCAGAAAAAAATGGCTCAAAAAATTCTATTAATCACCTGTAATTTTGAATACATTTTAGAACAGAACATACATTTCAGTACTTCTTAAAGCAACCATACAAGATTCTCAGCATAAAGATCTGTGCTGCTTGTACAAGCTGTACCAGAGCCCTGGCTCACACTGACAATGACAGAACTGCTCTCCATTACTGCTTTCCATCAGCAACACCTGCACTTTCATAATACCACCACTCTGAGAAAATAGCTGCAATCATCTTACAATTTAATTTCTCAGTTTTAGCACTGAGGAATGTAGTCACTGCTTTGGAAGTTATATAAACTGTCTGTGCTTTGGTATGAGCAGACTCAGAGAGTTTCTTTTATCAGTACATATTCTTCAGAAAAAAAGAGGCAAATTCATTCCTGTGTGGGAGTGACATGCAAAATACCCTGTTTATTTTCATTGTCATGTTTACTATGAGTTACAGAACAGACTACATCCTTGAATTAAAAAAAACTTGTTCTTTCTTCCAGCAAGTTAATAAGAGTTTGTTGGAAGGATACTCCAAAAAAACCCACTTAATTGTTTTTAGCTATATCGCCGCAGTTTCAGACTTCAGGGTTATGTACTCGTGGTGTGTTAAAAATCCTATCCCATGTATCAAAGTGGTCAAGATCTTCTGAACTGCATAGAGCTCCTTTGCAGCGAAGATGTGTTTCTTCAAACTCAGAGACAAAATACTACCAACTTGGCTGACTGGAGTAAGTTATAACTCTTAAGTTACGATTCTTAATATCCCTAAAACATGCATTTAGTTTCCAAAAGATTCTGTCAAATCCAAGGGAGGAGAAATTTCCTCTGGAGACAAAAACTCTCACACTGAAGCCATGAACTGGGGAAAACATCAGGAACATGCCTAAACCTATGATTTGGGTGATCTCAACCTCTTCAGAAAATTTGACTGGTTTAGGTTTTAAGGAAAACTAGCAGGATAGGGACTTTGAAAAAGAGACATCACTACTTCTTCCTTAACTGGAAGAGATGGGTATAAAGTAGCTACTAACAGGGCCAAGCACAGGGCTTAAAACGCTTCCCTCACACTGAGACTATTGTTTGGTTCACAAGGTGAGAGGAGTTGCAGCAACATGACTCACACTCTGCTAGTCCCCAGTGAAGAGTAGTCATCACACTATAAAAAAAACCCAAAAAAACAATGGTAGGGATGTTTCTGGAGGGTGTCTTAGATTACCTGTACCTTGAAAGGAAAACAGAGGCCTTCAAAATCAGATCTCCTAAGTTTATCACCCTCCTCAGTGAGGGTACACAATGCATACCTACATTCTGCACAGGTGGAAATGACATCATCTGAGCCAGTATTTTTCTTACACAAAACCTGCATAACATTAGAGCAAGTCTGGCACCTAGTGAAATACAGAGGTATTTCTAGTACAGTTTTGTAAACCTTAAACCTATACAGCAAAGTTATCTGCATATGCATCTGAACATTTGATTTTCCTTTAGCTTCCTTTATTTTGTAAATGACTAATAAACCTTTTTAAAAATACACTTACTGTCCACACCGTAGTAGTTTCATCTGTTCGACAGACTTGTATTTCAAAAGACATGGTCAGCTCAGCATCATGTGCTGACTTGCCAACATCCCATTCCACCAGCAGCTGCTGAAGAGCCAAATCCTTGGAAACATTAAGGTATGTTACTGGAAACACAATGGATTCTAGGAGCACAAAAAGGACACAAAACTATTAATGTTTAGCTAAGTTACAAAGGAGATCTGAAACAACATTAGAAATAAGATAGGTTCCACTCCCAACAGTTCTGAAGGGAAAAAAGAAAAGTGATCAAGACCCATGCTGTTGATATCAAAAGCAAAGATAATCTTTCATTTTAAGGCATCAGCAGGCTAGAATGAGGTTTCTGATTCTACTCAGTAGCCCCTCACCATGACATTGGGTAAGCTATTTAATTTCTTTATGCCCTCAATTTACTAGCTACTGTATGGGAAATATTGATCCATCTCTTCTATAGTCTTATGAAGAGGAACAACTTAATGTATTAATAGGGACTGAATACCAAGAAATCCCAACCTCCAGCAAGCCATCATTATGGTAGAAAATCCAGAAAATCTAGGATCAGTTTTGCTCTCTGACTTAATTAAGATTAAATTAGTTAATGTAAATCAAGTATTTGAACAGGTTAGGTTCAGCATTTCCCTCCACTAGCCAGCTCACATGATAGTCTAGCATCAGGTACATTCCTGGTTGCTCTGCACAGAGCTTAGGTACTTCAGGCTGTGGATTCTTCCACTGTAATTAGACACCTAGTTATAATGGCCAACCTTTTGTGGGTCTGGAGTTAATTTCCCAAATAAAATAACGTCCCTTTTGCTGTCAGGAAAGGAAAAGCCTCTTAAGAAGACTAGCCTGCTGAAAACTACAGATGACCTTATGAGTGGTCCCCCTATTTAGATATTGGCTCTGTCACCCCTCCCAAAAAAAAACCTTAACTCTTGGAAGAGATGAAATATGGCACTAGCTGATCTGTATCTACTTTCTTTCCTGAAAAATTAACAAACAAAAGCCCCTAAACTTGATCTGGTTTTTAATGAAGCCAGGAAACTGAAATGGCCAAGTAACTAGGTTTTTTTCTTTTACCACAGTTACTTTCCAAGATGCTTCCGGCTGTTAGAAACAACAGGATCAGAATGCTTATACTGACCAAGACACAGAAAAGAACTTAGAGAAGTAACTGTATGTTTTAATAAAACAGTATTCATTCTGGGCATTCCTGCCCCTCTAGAGTCACAGTCCTCAGGGATATGCTGGATTGAGAGACTTTTCTCTCTGGTGTGCTTCATCCACTGACCCAGTGATTATCTGGGAATTTTACAGACTGTAGAAATGCAAGCATTCAGAAAATTTAGTTTGAGAATCTACATTTTGATAGATGCTTCTGGCAGCAATTAGACACCCAAACTCTTTTGTAATTTATCCTGTACTGCCTGCTTTGCACTAACTTCTGTGCAGCAGTTTCCCTGCACAGGGATCTTTACATTAACTGTAGGAAATGAAAGGCTCAAGAGAAGCCTTATAACAATCCTTTAACAATCAAAGGAAGAAAAGAATACTTTATAAGCATATTTATTAACGATGAGAATATGAACACTGACACAGCTTTTTTGTTTATACAAGTCCAGTCTATAATTAAAGAATAAAGGAAGGAAAGTATATACTGTACCATTAGTAACAACTTACTAAAAACTGCCAAAAGAAAGGATTGTTTCTCTTCTAGAAAATCATTTACAAACTCTGTTGGTATATTTTTAATGCATTCCATTTTGAAAGGCACTGGAAGTCAAAGCAAAATGAAAACCATATGCTTTCAATCTAGAGGAAACTACTGGCATAGGCTTCTTCAGATATACTTTGAGAGAAATCAAGGTTTCATTATTCAAATACTTGGCTCAAGAAACAGGACTGTGGTATCCTAAAAATGTTTTTGAGGAAGAAGTATACACACACACACATGCACATGTACCTTCTATCAATTCTAACTGCACCCTTAACATATAATTAATGGAAAAAGATGATAGAATCTGACATTAGTGCTTCTTTAAGGTAAATCCAAAAATGTTTCAAAAGTAAAATTTCCATTTTGGCTATGGTTATGACATGGTCCTTAAAATACATATCTGCTGCTTGACAGTTGCGCTTGAAAAATAATGGCCATCAGTGTTGAACTACTGTAAGGAAACCCAGAACCTATGACAACTAGTAGATGTCTGGAACTGAATAAACAAAGTGGAAGGCCTGGGGATAAATCTCATTAGCCTAAATGACGAGGGAGCAGCATTTTTAAGTTTTACGGGAAAACAGAAATATTGTTAGCTTCCCTGCCAAGGACTGACCAGGCAAGGAGCCAAAACAACCAAAGCAACAAAGCGAGCCATAAAATTAACTGCAGAAGCAGAGTATCTTATGTTATTTTGGGAAGGTAAGACAAGACAGACTTCATCTCCCCACATTCTAACGAATCCCACTTACTTGAACAAATTGATTATGATGTGGCTGCTCTCCAGCATGTAATCTTACTGCTCATTTTCTGGTCAACCTTACCTCATCATCCTTTTACCTGAAGTACCATGTACCAAACCTCTGAGAGGATCTCATTTCACATATGTAAATAGGTGGCTATCTAAAGCTCTGGCCCTTGCCATTCTTATCTTTTCCTTCTGCAGTGCTGAAGCAACTTAGGGAGACAGATGGGTCTAGCACGAATAAACAAACTTAAAGTAAGGGACCCAGTTACCCTCTCAATCAAACTCACAGGCACAAAGTAAGGCTACCAGAGAAAGGAAACAAATACACCTGAAAGAAAAGCAAGCCAGTTGGCAGAAAGCCCTTCCTTTTTCAGGGTGCATCGTTAAAAAAAAACAAACCTGCATATCTTCTGAATTTCCCTATCCTCTTTTCTCCTTCTCTAGCCAGTTCTAATTGTAACTGTCATTACTATGCCTGTTGCATTGATGATGAGCTTGCTTCTCTTCTCTACATGTCTCTTTTTGTCCAAGCTAAAATCTCATCCCTTTTCTCATCATGGAGAATATTTTCACCTGACACATTTCATTAACTTGGCAAAAAAACAAAGGTCTCATTAGTTTGTTTTTTTTTCATCTGTATGAGTGGCTCTCCACTATCTCCTTTCAGTTAGATGATGTATCACTTCAGACCTCACACAATTTTGTTTTCCTCAGAGCCTGGCATAAAGTCAGTCAAGATCACCAGCCAGGGCTTATACACAGTATCAACAAACAGAAGAAATAATAAAGCAAAGGATATATCCAAGATCTTGAAGACCACTAAGTTACAATGTGAGACCTAAAGTCTTTTTAGTGTAATTTACACATGCAGAAATATTTGTATCATTGATGACTATAATCTTCCCCTCCTTGAAAAGTTAAATAATCAAGGCATCTTAAGACTTGTTTTAACTTGAGAGTTAACTCCAGACTACATGAATAGCTTTATGATTAACAGCAGAGACTAATTTTATTCCTGAACAACTGCACGTGAAAACAAGTGACCAACTTACTGTAATAAAGTAACTGTTTGGACTTGCCTGCATTACAATGTTTTGACACTCTAATCTCAAAACTGAGGAACTGGCACTGTGGGTGAATGGAGTGTGAACACATGAATTTCAAGGTTGAAGAGAGGCAAAGAAGTCTGAAACAGATATATTACCCCCTTCAGTATGATAACAACTACATACACAAACACTACCCCTCTCTCTCCTTCACCAACTTAATTAAGGCAATATAGCTTCTACAATGCAGACTACAATCTGGTAAATGCTTCCTCCTTAATGGCAGTCACAGAAAAGTCAATTAAAAACATTAAATCCTTTTTTTTAGTTTAATGGACTCATGACAATGCTCTTGCCAGCAGCAAGTGTGCAAGCAGCACTTCTACCTTAAAATTCACAAAATTCTGCAGAGTTATTGTTATATTCAACTTTGTTCCCTCCAAATATGCATATTTCCTTTTTTCTCTGTATTGGATATATATGTGAAGCGTAGAAATAAAAATCCAGTCCTGGAATCTTGTGGCACAATCACAAAAGAGCCAACAGAAGTGCTAAAGTTTTCATAGATATGACAAACAAAAAAGAGAACATGAAGGGAAGAGGTAGAGAAGCATCTGAAGATGACAGAGTACAGATCAAAAACATATGAGACAGAGGGGGAGCAAATAAACAAATATACTCTGGCTTCACATCATCGCAGCTTTTTGATTCAACAAGCAATTGTGGATGATGAGGTTACAAAAGGTAATTATAGATACAAGGTGCTTCATCACCTTACCGAAGAAAATCGCTTGAATAAGCATGTAGCGTGTTGCTTAATCATAGGAAACTTAAAAATGAGCAAGTCCAAAGCTTCCGCTGTTGTAGATTGCTTCCAAATAAAAAGCCAGATGTTCAGACACTTACCTTGCTGTGAGTATGTAGTGTAGCAAGTCATCAGGGGAAGCAGTACTGCCAGAACCATGAAGTGATTCATCATTCATTTGCCTTTTCCTGCACAAAACTTATCAGGAAAGAAGACATTTCTATTTATTTGTTCCTTTTACAAGAAATGCATGTCAGAAAATAGTCCAGATAATATTACTGTATTTTAAAAAAAAAATCCCAACCACAAAGATTCTGGGCAGTTTTAGAAAAATTCAGGAAGAATGGACAAAGAAAGATAAGGAATGAAAAAACCCTCTTGTTTTGAGGACCTGGGTACAGCATAGGGAAAATTATACTACACTCAAAAAGTTCAAATTAATCTAAGCAAAAACAATATACAAATCTTTGAAGTTTTCCCTCCACTCATTTCTAAGGAATATTAAAACAAAAGTTTGTCCTGATAGATTTTGGCTTTCTTCCTGAACAAGTAACAAGATACTCAAGCTAACAGGGGGGGAAAAAAAAAAATCAAAAGTGCAAAAAGCCTTGTGGTTTCTACTCCTGCTAGAGTCTGACTAATGAATCCAGCAGACTTTGGCAAGCATGGTCTTGCCCTTCGCCAGCATGCAGGGCACTATATGGAGGTCTTTAGTTCAACTGGAGTTGAAGTACATGTATCAAAGTCTTAGCAAGTTTCATTCCTAGAAGACTGTCCTCTCAAGCACCATGTAGCTCTATCTAGCATTCCTTTTACAGCTTTTACACTCACCTTGTGACAGGATAAAACTCTGTTTGACTTGAACAGCCCAGTCCTGAGGGACTTATCATATGTCAGATCTCAGAAGATATGAATCACCTGCAAACTCCCCAGTGTAGAAGGGAGAGGTAAACATTCAGGAGCAGTACGCTTAAAAGCACTCAGGCACAGAGGGTAGGGGAGTCTACCAGGAACAGGACTACAGATACAGCTATCTTTAACATTTAATTTCCACTTACATTTCTGAAGTTGTGTAGGATACTGACAAAGAGTATTCTACCACTTCTTCCATAACAGAAGTTGAAACTGCTTAGCGGGACAGATAACCAGGATGACCTTCTGTCCCCACCAAAGCCAAGGACAGAATATTTACTGATTTTAGAAGAGCCAGGAATTCACTGCAGAATTTCTTCCTAGCAGAAAACCGCCAATTTAATAACTCAGTAACACAGACAGTAAAGTTTAATTACCCTGCCTTAGATTCATTGGTTTAGAGAAGCTCTGAATTTCTCCAAAGGATCAAATTAATTTTTTTTTTTTTTCATGTTTCTAAACATCACATGGAAAATGTAGAAGTCCTGCATGCAGCACTGCAACCCAGGGCTCAGTGCTCACAACAAGGACCCTTGTTGCAGTGTGTCCTAACTTTTTCCTTGTGAGCACAAATGGAGGCTCCCATATTTAAAAGCTGAACATTGCCTTGCCTATAGTATAGATGTCTACAGTCTTTCGTGCCATTACACCAATACCCTCAAAAGTATTTGGACACCACCAAAATCAATATGAATAAGGAATCTAAATATTTTTGAGAACCTAGACCTAATTCACATGCAACTAATAGACTGTTTCAAGCACACACTTAGGGAAAACTGCTTCTTTATAGATTTTTTAAGTTTAAACTTTTTTTCTCACCTGATTAAATTTGATATCTAAAAAGGAAAATAATTTGACATGTTTTGTCTGGAATAAACATGATAGAATGGCTTCTGTACATGCTACAGAGCACTGAGTGGTAAGTGACAAAAAGAAGTCTTTCCAAGGCAGATTACGTTAAAACCTCTGATAAATTTTCAGTTATTCTTTTGAATGATACAAAATGAATATTGAGACACAAAGCCAAATCTTGCATGCCCTTTTTCAGAAAAAAAGTGAAAATAAGGCTGCCTTTAAAGTCAAGGGAGTTGACTCTGCTTTAAGAGCAACTTAATACAAGGGTGGTCAGTTAGGTTCAGTGGCATAACTTTTGACTTAATTATATCAGCATGATGAAACCCTGGCCACACAGGACTCCCGATTTTGCAAACCACTTAAATCTAACATTAAATACAGTAGGAAAGTATTGTAGAAGTCATGACACTGAACTATTTGCTTAAATTACATAAAAATATGGAAAACAAACCCAAACTCTTTTCTGCTCTTAAGGGGCATTCTCCACTATTATATTGAAGTAAATGACTAATTTAACTCTCTCTCTCCAGTCATTTACACTGTCAGTTCATCAATTACATAGCCTAGATCACTTTTATTGATGTATATAGTACAAACACCATATACGACTAAAAGACAGTGTAATATAAGAAAGGACCATTAGAATGTAAACATATTTTGGACAGCTACAATGCTTTTCACTATTCACTATGTTAATAATCTAGTTTAACATCGTATAATAAATTGTGATAATATGTATCACAACTGTATTAAACCAGTTTTCATGGGAAAGTTCTGGAATTCTCTAACAAAACAATATGAAGTAAATTTAAATAAATGAGACACTATTTGAGAAAAAAAAACCAAAAAAAACCAAACAAAAAAACAAACAGTTCCTAATAGAGGAGTAATATTTTGACTTAAATCATCTGTATGCAGAAAATTCTGCCTATGACTAACCAATTAATCACATACAGTAACTACTACCAACTAATCTCAAGCACTTATTCTGTGTTATCAATAATTAAGTATTTCTATAAAATCATCATTTAAAAATCTGCCTTGGTTACAGAGATTAAAAGGGAATCAAAACAGTTACATAAAATACATTATCAATTTCATTTTAAAAAACCCATTATGATAATAGATTAACTACATCCTTGACAAAAGTGAAAATAATTGGACAACAAAGGGGATGAAAACAGGAAGCCGGGGAAGGTTTTTAGGTATCTAAATAATTCATTATTCTGAAAGAGGCAAAATACTACCTCTGAGAAATAGTGAACAACTATCAAATGCCACATGAAAAGTGAAAATTAAAACCATTGTTTTGGTGATTAGCTTGGTTCATATTTACCAATCGGAAAAGATATCAATACCACAGTATGCCACAGTTCCTCATCTGACAATGAATCACTGCTGACTTTTTTTTTTTAAGCCTAAAGGAAGTAATGTTTTGTAACCATGCTCCAACCTGGAGTGCCTTTGTAATTTGTTTCCATGAATTGCAGGTAAAAACAAGAAGCTTTCATGCTAGTGATTTTGAATATGGAATGCAGACACATATTTCAATACTTTTACCTTTCTAGTTACTTTTGTCATTAAGGTAATTTTGCAATGGCATTTCTCCAGTCTATCAAGAATCACAGAGCAGTTTGTTCAACTAAGTTTTGAAGAACTCCAAGGATAGAGATTCCACAACATCCCTGGACATCTTGTTCCAGTGTTTAACCACCCTCATTGTGAAGGTCTTTACTCCTTATATTCATATATTCATTTTTCTCCTTATGTTCATATAAGGAGAATACCTTCTTTTATTCTCCTGATATTAATCTATTCAATTTTTCACCTTATATTTTCCTTGCTACAATTTGCACCTGTTTCCTCTTGCCCTTTTGCTGTACACTTCTGCAAAAAGCTTCGCTCTGCCTTCTTAGTAACTTTCCATTAGTTAGGTAAGGACTGCAGTTAGAGTTGCCCTTACTTTTCTCAGGACTAAGCAAACTCAGGTCCTTCAGATTCCAAAGCCTCCTGGTGTCTCTCTGCTGGACTCAGTCCCATCTGTCGGTCTTCTTTGTTCTGTGAGCCCAAAAGTGGACACAGTAATTTAGATATGGCCTCCCAAGTGCCAAATAGAAGGAAATAATCATTCCCTTAAATTCTATTTCTTTGCCATAATTAACAACAGTAGTTACAGTTCTAATTTCTGTGATAAATCTGGGTATTAGGACACGCTGTGAAATGATCTATAAAATGCCAGATAATACTAAGCCATAAATTGAGGATGACTGGGTACAAAATGATCTGTCAAAGGTACAAAAGTTAGCTGAGCAAGAAATTTTTCATTTTACCCTGTATTCTTCCCTCTTCTAAGAATTCAGCATCTGTGGGGGAAATAAAGCAGACTTGCTTAGTCTTGTCAGTTTGCAGCCTGAAACCCTGATAGGGTTTTTTTAACTCATGAATATATAGTCTACTTGTCCTTCTTCCCATTGGAAAAACTTAACCTGAGGTGTGACAAAACAGATACAGAGGGATTCAGGACTCCCCAGCCTAACTTGAAATTAATTGGTACCAATAGATACATCAATAGAATAGAACCATTCTGGAGACCTGGTGGCAACTGCAATAATATTCAGCAGCAACAGGAATTGTTTAGAGACCTGACAATTAAAGAGCAATCATGCTAGAACTGGAAACAGCACAGGAGTAAATTACCTTGGGAAGAGATGAAACCTCCTTCAGAACGTAGTTCATGAATAATCTAAATAAACTATTCCTTCTTCAGAGAAAAAGGCTGGCTTAAATGATCCCTGAAGTCCCATCCAGCCAATGCTTTTCTGGTGCCACAGATGAGAGGAAAAACAAATTCCCATTATTCATCTGGTAAACATTCCTAAGGCAAACATTTCATCAAACTTCTCTTCAAAGGCATTAAAGCACCAAAATTCAACTGAAATCTCTTTCAAGATCAAGCTTATAGTATTCAGTTGTTGGCTGGGAGTTGGAGCTATAAGGTATACATACTGCTGCAGTACCTGGAATACCCATGTGTGTAAGAAAAGGAAGCCCCTGCTATGAACGTCTAGTCATAGTTGACTGCAGAGTCAGTGTGTTTTGTATCCATCTTCCTAAATCCACATATTTCAAATCATACTGCATACAACTTTCCTTTCCCAGTGCCATTTGCTTTGCTTATTTAAAACAGCTGCCAGTCACAATCCACCTCCCCAAATGAATCAGAGCCTGTACACAGGCTGAGAAAAGAAATGGTTTCAGCTGCTTGCATCCAGAAAAAATTATCCATTTAAAGAAGAGTATTAGAGACACCAAATCATAAACAGTATTGATTGAACAAACTTTCCTAACCATACATGGAAGAGGACTGCCAGTGAGGCAAATGCAGCAATACTACTAGTTTGGATTTACATAGCATTTTTCATCCTATGTTCTAACTCACTCTACTTCATAGACAGACTAAGGATAAGAATCACAATTCAAGTTCACACCATGCACTACAGGTCAGTAACATAATTGATGTGTTTAGTACCAAAACCTAACAAACTCCTTCCATAGCTACCAAAGAAAAAGAGACACCCCTAGGAAATAGGCCAGACCTTAGGTAGACTAACTCATCCTCCGGAAGTGGTTTTTTCCCCTCTTAAATAAACTGATAACTAAGTAAGTGCCAAAATGAGCTAGTATGCCCTAAATCAATAATCTGTACAAAGACTCTGCACTGAAGTACACCTCTGCTTTCCCGATTTCTGCAACTCCCCATATATCCTCACAAAATCAACAGTGCAGAGCCGACATCTGACTGATGCAGCTTTACTTGAAACAGGGAGCAGTGTCAAGCCATTGGAAACCTACTGAGTGTTGGTGAAGTAGCATCTGCCAAAACATCCTACAACTAAAGAACCCCTCTTCAAAATAAACACCACAGAACATTTATAGAAAATTTAATTTGCAACAACTCTGAATTCTGTAAAATTCTGAGATACCAGATTCCAAAGTGGGTGAACTCTTTCTTCAGTGCTTGTACTCAGGCTTTCTTCTCCCAAGCAATTTTAAAGATGGTTTCAATTACACTTACCACACAAAGTACATCTGTGCATAAGACACTGAAAGCTCCTAATAAGCCTTTGTGATCTAATGGGTGAGCAACAAGTTTAAAAAGCTGCATATGGAAGAAAGGAATTTCTATAATTAAGGTTTCTTAGGCATGTATCATTTGATCACTTATGGAAAGTCTTGTTGCCCGTTTTTTGATAGACAGAAAGTTCTCTGGGGCATGCTGTTGATTTTCTAAAGAGCTTTGCCAAAACAGGAAAACATTATGTACTTCATAGTCCCATGAAGACTGGAATTCAAATAAAAAAGCAATTAAATAATGAAAAAAATGGGGTCTAAAAACATAAAGCGCTGAACAAACGATGTAAGATTACTCTTTACCCATCGGAAAGCAAATGCTAACAATTGTAGGGAAGGAATCACATAATGTGGTGGCATGACTCATACCAAGAGGAAGCATAATTTTACCATGTTTTTGAGCCATGATCTACTTGTAACACTGTTAGGATCTTGTTTACTCTGCTGGCATAGTGACTGGTCCAGGCATGCGATATTTAGATAAAAAGAGAAATTAAAAGGTTGTGCCAAAAAAATTGTCAAACTCCAAAGAATGCAGGAACCACACTAGAATTTATTTTTATTTACTTCAATGGTTTTGACATTAAACAACAGATTTCAGATGCTGAAAAGCAAGCAGGAACAACACTTTTTACTCTGTATGATGCAGGACTTAAAGCTTCAGGCTTGAATTTCTAAGCAAGTCAAAACCTTTTGAAGTAGTAGGAACTAGACACTTTAAAACCAAACCTAATCACCTAGCTGGAGCAGCATCCTTATGCCACGATGTACCTCACCTCTGTAATTTTTGCTCAAGTCAAATTAGGAATTTTTATGCTGTAGTTAAGCAGTGACATCTTAAAAGTAGAGAAGGTTGAAAGGGTCATAAAACGCTTTAAATTCAATGGTAAGGGACTCTGCTGCCAGGGCAGTCTGTTTCTGGAGGATGAAGGAGCAGTACGAGGACGGCGGTGCCGAGGAGCCGGCTCCCCTCCCTCCCGCAGCCCTCCCGCACCCGCCGTTCTGAGGGATACCTGGAAAAAAGGGACTTAAAGAGCAAGTGAAGGGTGAAGAGGGCTTAACGGGCACCAGACGGACCAAACTTCAAAGGGAAACTCCACAAAGCGTTTCAAATAAGGCGCTGGGTGGAGAAGGAGGATTTTCCTCAGCGGCGCAGGCTGAGCTTCTCTCAGCTAGGGCGGCCGGCGTCCCCCCGCGGGAGGGGGCGGAAAGGGGATTAATGAGGGGACGAGGGGCCCGCAACAGGGGGAGACCGGCATTACCCACCTGCACCCGCCAAGCCGCTCGCTCAGG